CAGAATTATTTACTACACAATAGAAACACTAAAACTACCAGTAGGACAGGATTAGATAGGACAGCGCTCTACGCTAAAGCAACTGTTGAAGCAATGCTACTAAAACTGGCACAAAAGCAATAATTATTAATTAGAGATGGATGGAACTCCCCCAGACCAATGCTTGTGGGGAGATCTCTGCTCTCCACCCCGAGCAGTGACCTTGGGGGTCCCCAGCCAAGGCAGGAATCTCCACACACCCCCAAGAAGGGTTCTGTTGGCACAACCTGCCCCTGGCAAAGGGGACTGGCCCTTTCTGGTAGAAAGGGATGGACTGAGAGTCACTGGACTCCAGGGGTTGCCTCACCCTCAGGGGGGTCATTCAGGGTGGGAGCAGCGGCCGAAGCTCTTCCCGCAGTCAGGGCATTCGTAGTGCTTTTTTTACTGGTGGGTGCGTTGGTGTATGGTTAGGGAATAGCTCTGCTTGAAGCTCTTCCCACACTCCCCACACTTGTAGGGCCTCTCTCCAGTGTGGATGCGCCGGTGGGTGATGAGGGTGGAGTTGTGTTTGAAGCCCTTCCCGCAGTCGGTGCAGCGGAAGGGCCTCTCATCTGTGTGTGTCCGCTCATGCAGGAGGAGATTGGAGCTGGTCCGAAACCTCTTCCCACATTGCAAGCACTTGTAGGGTCGTTCCCCAGTGTGGATGAGCTTGTGAGTGCGGAGGTTGGAGCTGTTCCTGAAGCTCTTCCCACATTCCCTACAAGTGTAGGGCATCTCCCCAGTGTGGATGTGCTGGTGGGTGTGGAGGTTGGAGCGTCTACTGAAGCTCTTCCCACATTCCCCACATGTGTAGGGCCGTTCCCCAGTGTGGATGCGCTGGTGTTGGATCAGGTTGGAGCTCTGCCTGAAGCTCTTCCCACATTCCCTACATGTGTAGGGCCGTTCCCCAGTGTGGATGTGCTGGTGCCTGAGGAGGTCGGAGCTCAGCCTGAAGCTCTTCCCACATTCCAGGCACCTGAAGGGCTTCTCCCTGCTGGGAGGCTGCTCAGGGACCACCAGCTCGGAGCTCCGGCTCAAGCTCCGGCCGCCTTCCCGGCACAGGACGGCTCTTTCCTCCTCACAGCTCCCTGGGCTGGCTTTGCAGCCCCTCCTCCGGGGGCATCTCCGGCCCTTTTCCTCCCTGCTGCCTTCCTGCGCCGGGGAGCCCTTCAAAACGGCCTCTCCCACCAGGCTCTGCCGGGGGGATTTGTCCTCCGTGCTCTCCGTCCTCAGCTTGGGGCCTGGGGCAGGAAGGAAGAAGGACAGGCAGGGGATTTGCCTCCGGCCCAGAGGGAAGGCCAAGAACATCCCCCCCAAATTTGGCCCCCACAGGCACCACAAGACAGGGGCACTGACTTCCTCCTCACCTGTCTGAGGGGCCCACAGCTCTTTCCTCTTCCTCACGGCCTCCTCCTCCATCTGCCCAAGCTTTGGGGAAGACAAATCCTGCTGGAGGGAAACAAGAGCTGAGCGTTGCCTTGGGGTTTCCTCTTGCCCAAGTCCATCTCTAGAACTCACCGGACATCCTGGGACCATAAAAACCTCCAAAACATCACAATTCAGCCCAAAAAAATCCCAGTGAAGAGCTCCTCCTCCCTGGTCTCTCCACTTTGGGATTCTGGAGGTCTCCCCTGTCTGGGCTTCTGGGAGTCCCGTGTGTATTTGGGGTCTCCCCTCTACGGGGTCCCTGCCCTCTCCAGACTGCTGGGGGTCCCAGGAATCCAAGGCTCCCCCATCTCCCAACTTCAGGGTTCTTGGGGACCTCCAAAACATCAAGAATCAGCCCAGAAAAACCCAAACCACCAAGATTCAGGCAAAAACCCCTCAGAAACAGCAAGAAGACACGCGCCCCCCAAATTGTAAAAAGTTGAGATTCAGCTGAAATACAAATTATGAAGATGAGCCAAAAAAAATCTCTCCCAGGAGTTCCCTGTCTCCCCACTCGGGGTTCCAAGGGTCTCCCCTGTCTGGGATTTTGGGGGTCCCACTTAGGGATGCTGGGAGTGCTGGTGGTCCCAAGGGTCCCTTCTCCTCTGACTCTCACCTTTGGGGTGCCGCCTTCCCAGACATTCCCCCTTGAAATGAGAGCAAGGCCTAAAGAATTACCTGAAATATCTTGCTCAGCTGAGAGAAGCCTCCCCATACCTGCTCTGCCTAAAGTGATAAAGAAAAATTTGTTCTGTTCTGTTCCTTGGACCTGATCTAAAGAAGGCTGGAAACATTCTACAACAGGTCTGTAAGCCAGAAATTAGGGCAAAGTGAGCCAAGGGAGACATTTGAACAGGAGAAATAGGCCTAAAGCCAAGGCTCTCTCCAAGCTTCAGTGACTGGGGCAAAGACAATGGAAAGTTAGAGGGGTCACACTGAGGAAGACTGCAGAGACCCCAGCCCAAATGATGAAGAAAGGGGGATGAACCCCCAGAACTGAGGGCCAAGAAGAGCTCCACCCCAAGCTCCGCCTGAGTTCTGCCTGTACTCCAGCTATTATCAACATGAATGATTAGATGTTGCAATCAAATGAATATAGATATAAAATCTTGCAATCATAGAAGTCAGACTGTATAAATTACCCTGTTTTGTATCGACACCTTCGAGCTTTGTGGTGCCAACCCCGCCTGCTCCCGACGTCCACAGATAAACACCTCTGCTGCTCAAAAGACCAAAAGCTTCTGGGCACTTTCGTTATTGGATTTCTCAGATTCATCTGGAGAGCAGATTGTGCCCCAGGGATGGGACTGCAGAGGGGCCTGCTCTCCAGGACAGCAACCTGCAGGGAGGGCAGATGATGTGCAAGCCCAGGGGTTCCTGCTTGCACTGGCCTGGGGGCTTCTTTCTCCTTCCACAACCACCCCCCAACTTCTCCTGCTTTTCTAACCCCACATCTTTGCAGAGTGCCCTTGTCTGTCTGTCTGCACAGACACATCTATCCCCTGTGGACAGAGCCTCCAGCATGTGCTGCCCTGGCCATGGCACCCAGAGAATCCCAGAATCAGCCGGCTTGGAAAAGACCTCCCAGATCATCAAGTGCCCCCCTTGATCCAACCCCACCATGGTTCCCAGAGCGTGGCATGGATGCCCAGGGGAGGGGCTTTGGGGATGAGGGGTATCCCAGTACAGCCCAGTGACCCCAGCACAGCCCACTGTGTTCCTGTCCCAGGGTGCCAGGTGATCCCTCTTTGTGGGAGGTTTGATTGGGATTTGGGGCATTTTGGGGGCCTCTGGGTGCATTTGGGGCAGTTAAAAGGGGTCTTGGGAGCATTGGGGGGTAAAAGGGATCGGGGAGGGGGAGGCGATTAAATGAAAAATGGGGGTTAGGGGACATTTGGGGGGCCTTATTGGGGCCTGGTGGGGAGAGAAGGGGCAGCACCATGAGCAGGTGAGTCCTGAGACCCCCCTGGTGTCCCCAAGACCCTCCTGCTGTCCTCAATTTCCAACTTGGCACCCCGAGACACCCCTGGTGTCTCCAATGTCCCCAGGGCCTCCCCATGGTTGCAATTCCCCCTTGAAACCCCCCCTTTCCACTGCCCTCAAACCCCATCCCTGATGTCCCCAACCTTCCATCTCCCCCCAGAAGGCCCCCCTTGGACCCTCTCACCTCCAAAACGACTCCATCCCCCCACACTCATACAAAGCCCAAGGGCATCTGGGGACATGTTGGGACACTTGGGGGGCTTTGTGGGGCACTGGGTGATTACTGGGGTGTAGTGAGACACACTTAGGGGAACCAGGGGAGGTTATTGAGGGATGCTGGGAGGGTACTGGGAGAAATTGGGTGATTACTAGAGAATTACCAGGACACACGGGGGGACACTGGGAGGTTACTGGACCATACTGGGGGTTACTGGGTGCTCACCGGAGGATCATTGGGCCATACTGAGAGCCACTGGGAGGTCACTGGGCTATACTGGGGGCACTGGGATCCCCAAACCCAGATATGGTTCATCTCCCTGCAAAGATTTTGGGTAGCACCACCAGGACCCCTCCCCTGAACCTGGGGGACCCCCTAGACACCACTGATAGGCTTTGGGGACCTCCGAGCCTCACCTCCTGTGGGGTCTCTGTGTGCTGAGTTTTGGGGGTCTCTGGGGTTCGGGGCGGCATCAGGAACCGCTTTCCCTGCGGTCGGTCCGCCCAGCCGGCAGGGGGGCGCTGTGGCACGAGCGGCAATGGCGGCGCCGCGCAAAGCCTTATGGGAGTTGAAGTTTCTTTAATGAAAACTCCGCCGGCGCCTGCGCAGTGCAGCCATGGCGTTTAAACAGCCCCCTCTGGGAGCTTTCCGAGGCCCCCAGCCCTTTCGGGGACCCCCTAAACCCCTTCAGGCACCTTCACTCTCCCCTCTGAGCGCCTTCAGGACACCAAATCCCCTCCGCGACACCCCAAGAGCTCCTCGTAGACCTCGAAACCTCCTCGGGAACCCCCGAGCCCCTCCTCTCCACTCTGCCGAGCCCTCCAGCCTTCCCGCCCACAGTCGCGTTCCCCGCAGCCCCCGAGCGCATCCCCAGACTCACCACAGCCCCAGCCAGGTCTCAACAGGGCTCAACAGATCCTGCCGCCGCCGCCATCACTTTCCCAGCAGCCACCGCGGGGCTGTGCGCGCGCCCCGCCGGCAGAGACCCCGCCCCGCCCCCTTTGCCGCGCGGGGCACGCCGGGAGTTGTAGTTGCAGCCGCTCAAAGCTCCGAATTCCCCCAGACTCAATTCCCCACGGGCGTTCCTGGGGCAGAACGGGGCAGAACCGGGGCGGGGACGGGACGGGCATTGG